AGCGTATTTAAAAATCTGCACTATTTGCAAATATTAAAACCTACATATCTCATTCATTATAAGATCAAATTGAGTGATTCAAAAGCCTAACTTGACTAGAATTTCATAAGGAATCTATTGGAGGCATAAAATATGAGTTTCGGGATTTTTTGGCATGAGAAACGAGGCAGAATAGCTGGTAGAAAATACATAAAACTAGGGTTTGCTCATTCGATCATATTTTGAGTTGGGGAGCTCGAATTTGGGAGATTTTGGAGGCGATATTCACCATATGGATTGGGATAAGTTTTCTCTACTCGGTTTTGATTATATTTCATGAATCTATTTTCGTTTTTTTGGGATTTGATTGATGATTTCAAAGTGAAAATTGAGGGAGTTAGGGTTTGAGTTTTGGAGAGTTTTAAGTGAGGATTTGAGGGGCCAAACAGAGTCCGATTTTGATAAATTTTATATGGTTAGACTCGGGAGAGAACGAGGATTATTATTCTGCCATTTTTGACTGATTTTGAGACGTGGGCCCGGGGACCGAGTTTTGGCCGATTTCGGATTTTTGGCATGTTTATGTAGTTTCTATTATGTAATTCGATTCTTTAGACTATGTTGATAGTAGTATTCTGATTATGGTTAGATTCGAAGCTTTTGGAGACCGAGTCGAGGGACGAGGACATCCCGGAGTAGGATTTTACGCTGTTGAGGTAAGTAACAGTTTTAACTCTAGCTTTGAGGGTATAAACCCGGAGAAATTAATATCATGTGATTGTTTGGTGGTGATACCCACGCTAGGTGACGGGCGTGTGGGTGTGCACCGCGAGGGATAGAGACTTGGTCCGTCCCGTGAGGCCAGGCCTAAAAGCTATTATCTGTGGTTATGTGTTTACTTGTTGTTGAACTTGTGCCTTCATGTTAAAGACCATGTTTAGGTTTTATTCATGCTCACATTATTTGTACTCAGTCATAGAAATTATTGTACATGTTTACCTCAGTCTCTATTATTTGATAATATGTTGTGATACTTGATGTGGGATGTGTCCCTTTATTTGTTGATGATGGTGAGGCTAATGAGGTACATGACTGAGTGAGGCTGAGGGCCTGGTTGTGAGGATATTAATATCATAGCGCGTGAGTTATCCGCATAGCACGTGAGTTGACCGTGCGGATCCAGGTATTGATACCATAGCGCGTGAGTTGTCCGCGTAGCACGTGAGTTGACCGTGCGGATCCAGGTATTGATATGGTAGCACGTGAGTTGTCCGTGCTTAGCGCTTGGGCTTTGGGAGCCCCTCCGGAGTCTATACACACCCCCAGTGAGCGCAGAGTGTTGAGTGTATTGAGTGTTGAGTATTGAGTGTTGAGTGCGAGTGCTGAGTGATGGAGTGACATTGTTGTGAGGTTGCATTTACTTTTGTTGTTGCTGCATTTATCTGTTATTTTCTTTGTGGCATTTACTGAGTTATGAAATTTACCTGTTTATTCTTGTTATTTTTAAAATTGTGAAAAATAAATAATTGGACTATTTTGCTCAGCTCGTCACTACAGCTCAGTTCCTTAGTTATTTCTGTTACTACTGAGGTGGTTGTACTCATACTACACCCTGCACTTTATGTGCAGATCCAGGTGAGTTAGAGCGCGGCGATCGTTGAGTTCAGGCCGACTTTAATTGGAGACTGCAAGGTAGCTGCCAGCGTCCGCAGGACCTTGTTACTCCTTTTATCATTTCTTCTTTGGACAGTTAGACAGTTTATATATCTCGGTTCATAGTTTACGCTCATGACTTAGTGACACCCCGATGTTTGGGACTCGTTTTCATATTTCATATTATTTATATTTATAGTTGGTTTAGTTTATCGGGAATTAAATTATTGGAAATGTTTTATTAAATTCTTATAATCAAATTAGTAGTAATATTTTGGGAATAGGCTTGCCTTGTAACACGTTAGGCGCCATCACGACCATGGTTAGATTTTGGGTCGTGACACAAAACTACCACATTTAAAAAATAATGAACCTTGTGCAATTCAATAAATGTACCATATCAGTGTATAGCTCAGATTAATAAGTGGTTCCGTTATGAAATTACGGTTAGAGATCTCGTAACTGTTCATTATATAAGATTTTCCAAGCACGGGAAGAAGTAACACGGAGTAGAAGGCACTCTTATTTACAACAACAACAACTACCCAGTAAAATCCCACATAGTAGAATCTGGGGAGGGTAATGTGCACGCAGACCTTACCCCTGCCCCGATAGGAGCAGAGAGTCTATTTCCGATAGACCCTCGGCTCAGAAGAAGGCACTCTTATTTATTTATTTATAATAATGGTGGTGTTCAGACTTCAGTTTAGCTTACGTGCATGTCTGTTAATATACTAGGTAATTGTGTATTTTCGAATAAACTCTATCCACCAAGACTTAGATCAGAGAAAATCGCCAAAGGGTTTTTTAAGCTCTAGTGGGGTTTGAATCCTTCTCATGTTTTCCTTTTTCCTGACGATTTTACTCAGGTTTGCTAAGTCTGTTAAAAACTGCTGCTGTTTCCTTCTTGCAGAGAAATACTGATATAACCAGTAAATAGAGATACTGCTTGACCATTTTAGCTAAGGAAGCATGCAATTAGCATAACAAGTAAACTAAATTGCCTCATATCTAGTTCGAGAGGAAGAAAACCCACAAAGCTTCATCATCTGTGTCATTTCATGGTCATTTGAAAATATGTGCAAAGTCCAAGCAGAAAAAGAATCAACTCCCTGTAGAAGCTGCCAAAATCTTCCAACATGTAAAATTCACATTGCCAAATTAAGTTACTATTACTTGCACAACATTCTACTGCTAATAACAGTTTTTGTTGTTTTAAGAATTAGTGTTGTACTGTTAATGAATAACCAGATGAAAGGTATGTGGCTAGGCTCAATCATGCAGCGGGTTGTGTTCTGCCATATGAACTCCCGCCGTTGTTAAAACTTGAGCTAGTAGACTGAAAGTAGGAAACAGCTGACCAGAGCACGCGTAATGACAAAATTGCTACAAAGACAGCACCACCAAGTGCGCAGATCACCTAGAAGGACAATGATCATAATCAACAGGCAGTAGCAGAGTTCAATTAAAGATCAATATCTCATCCACACAAGAGCAGATATTGATATATTTAACCATTAATCATACTTAAATTAGAATGGAAGACGTAAAATTGCTTTTCACAAGAACCTTCAGAACCTGTAGCGTTTAATCCTCTAATCTGGTTGAAGGTTTTGGCACATTACTTCTGAGTTAATGTGCATACATTAGGTCAGAAACCATGAAACAAGTGCTTTTTTTCCAAAAGCCCTTGACATCAGATAAAACTACAACATGGTTGCATCCAGAGATACCCTTGATTTGACTGTCTAGATACAGATAAATTACTTATTGCCTAATGCTCGGTGGAAAAGATCTAAAAACTTCTATCAACTTCCTATTCCTATATATTTATTTCTCCCTTTTTTTTTACCTCCCTGTAAGTACCCAAAGCAGCAACAAAATGATTTTTCAAGTTGAAAGATTGAATAAATAGAGTGCAAAGTACTGGCAGACTTTACACGTGCACACACACCCGAAGCAACAGACTGGTTCAGCTAACACAGTAGATCAAAAATACTCCCTCTGTCCAAAATGTTTGTCTTTTTCTGAGGGTCAAACTAAGTTATCATGCACCAAAATTTTTTATTCTACTCCTCGCTGATTTGATATGAGAATTTTGTAATTTATACTCCCTCTTGTTATTATTGTGGTACCTATACTTGCCTGACCCGAGGGTCTATTGGAAACAGCCTCTCTACCTCCACAAAGGTAGGGGTAAGGTCTGCGCACACACTACCCTGGGTATGTTGTTGTTGTTTGTTGTTGGTTCCATTTTATATGAGGTTACTTGATTGGACCGGTGCTCTAGATGTTAAATTTGATTTTCAGCTGATCCCTGCCTATAAATAGGCATCACTTCTCATTTGTATCACTCATCCATAACAGTGTTCTTTTTCTCTGGCAATAAAACTTTACTGTGTGACAATGGATTAGGCAAAAATTGCCGAACCACGTAAATCTTGTCTTGTAAAGATAATTGAATTTTTATTTTCGTTATTTTTCCTTCCTATTTCCTGACACGCTTCCCGCTATCAAAATAAAATACTTGGCTTATGAATTAATATAAGTGATAGAGAAAAAATAATGATTAGTAATTGAAAGTTTGATAGAGAAATATCACATTATTAAAGTTAAAAGAACTTGAATAGCTTAATGAGCTTGAATTGTTGAAAGTTGCAAAGGTTGTACGAAAATGGTATGGCATCAAATACTTTGGGAAGTCCAAAATAGGAAAGAGTATCACACAAATCAAGATGGAGAAAAAAGTACTCTTCCCACAATTGTTGAACATCTAAATTAAATTCAAAAAGTAAATTCAATCTAGTTGTGAGGTTAGATTAAGTGACCATTGATTGATAAATGAAAATGACAAACAAATAGGGAAAGAAATAGTAGCATAATTTGTATATACCTTTACTAATTTATGGCAAAAGTTCTAGATGTAAAGGACTTTCCATGACTCTAGAAAATACAAAACAAAAAACTAAGTTTACACCTCTATTTTATAAGCATTATGCTGGATAAATTATATAAACCTCTTTTATATTACATTCTTAGAACTGCATATCTGTTTCCTTTAATTAGTCGATAGGCAGCTTGAAGCCACAAAGAACCAGAAAACAGATTTGATTAAATGGGCAAACCCTTAAAACAAGTAACATGCCATTATTGTGTGTTCTCTGTAAGAGAAAATGACATGGCAGAGGAATACCTCAAGAAATGCCTTCAAGATGGAGAGTGAAGCCAAAATTAGAACTCCATCAACCGCAAAAGAAACCTGCATTCCGCCAGCAATGAGAAGAGATAAGAGAGAAGATTCTGAACATACAACAACAACAACAACAAACCCAGTAGTTTCCCACAAGTGGGAGAGAAGATTCTGAACATAACTTCTACCTCATCAAAAAGATTCTGAACATAACTTCTGGAAATGATCAATTAGAAGATCAAAACTAAGAAAACACTGATAGCCCCGATATGGTAAACAAGGAAAAGAAACATGGTACTATAGCAGGTGTGAACTGAATTGAAGTTTCTAAAGGTGGATTGACTCATGTTGCCATGAAAGCACAAATCAACTTAACTCGTAAAAGTAAGAAAACCATAAAGTTAGCACATTAGGAGATAAGCCAACTTCCTATTACCATGCAATGGGATAAGTCATTGCAATTCTGCTAAACATTCATTTCCCTTTTAAAGAGGTGGCTAAAGCGAAGTTGGGAAACCAGATACCTTGGAATTCACGTTAGATTAATGCTCATGCTAGCTTCAAATGGGAAATCATAAAAAGTGTATTGGTACAACCAAAAACTTCTAACTAATTTACACGTAAATTGCTCTATGCAATACCCTGATTACCTAAGTTGCTCGAACTTGGGTGCGGGTGTCCGATAAGGGTGCGGATCTAGAGGTCGGATCCTTCATGATCTAAATTTTAAGATTCGGGAATACGGATCCAAGTATAGATACGGGCGCAGAGATTCGGCTAAAAATAATTCAAATATCTAAAATAGAGTTACAAAAATATGTCCAAATTATGAGACATTATGTGAAAAACTCAAGGTATTCCGAGAAGGAGAAAACATTGATCAAGAGAAGAATCCGAGAAGGAGATAAAAAGGAAAATGATTGACATATAATTTCTATACACAAGGTATTCTATTTTCTTCAGTTTTACCCTAGTTTTTATTTTGATTTTAGAAATCACTATATATGTCCCGAATTTCTCCTCGATTTTGGTCAAAGTACCCAGAATTGGTTGACCAGATCCGGTACGGATCCTACACTCACACCCCCGTCGTGTCGACAAGAGTGCAATACTGAAAGTGAAGAGTCCGAGCAACTTTAGCTGATTGCTGGTCTTAAAAGAATTTGATACACCTATCTTTAATACAACAAAACAGAGGACAACTCTGTCTGGATAAATGGTGTGTTCGGTATAGGCCAGTCATTTTCCGAAAAATGACTTATTTTCTGAATTTTTTTTTATGGAAAATGTTTTCCAAAATATACATTTATTAAAGATTTATAATAATATTAGCAAACTGGGTAGTGTTTTGTTGAAAATTGAGTATTAAAAACTGATAATAATGTCAAGTGTTAGTTAAAGCAGTGATATGAAGTTAAAAGTTGATATAATTGTGAATTAAAATGATTTCCGCCCATAGGTGAGAGAAGTCATTTTCCCCCTTCAGTGATAAATGTTTTCCCTAAAAAGTATTATCTGGAAACCAAAACCAGATAATGACTTTTCTCTAGAAAACAATTTTCAGAAAAAATTTCCCATCATACCAAACACACCCAAAATCCACAAAGAACATGTTGAGTTATGATTTTCTTCATTCCTCATTCAAGAGCTGATGGTGAATGACCCGAGATATGCTGCTTTCCATCAATGGAAGAAGATCGCAGTAGTACCATAGAATATCAAATAACACTGATCTCTCAACCAACCATAATGTCACAGAAGACTGTACTACCTGTCATACTGCCGGTGGCCCCGACAGTGCCACGCTACGCAGACAACACATAACAGGGTTACCTACAGTGCAGCAAGAGTATTAGTCGCTTGGGCACAGTGTTGAATTAAAGAGGAGTGAAATCTCGGGATGGAGCTTGAAAGATGTTAAGATGCAAGGCTGCACACACCGAAAATGGCCTTGTTTCTAATTCAGTTCATACAAATTTCACTTGCCATAATCTCACCGTTGCTGTGATCATATGCAACTTTGAAGGGTAATGACACTGTCCACAAGTATGAGAATGAACTGAAACTTGACAGAGGAATAGAGGATGTTAAATACGAGTCTATATAACTGAAGCCACCATAATATAGTGACAACAACATGTTTACTCCTGTCGCTTTGTTTATTTTAAGACATATATAAGTGGACATAAATTGTGACTGCATACTGCGTGCTACCAACAAGCTGCACGACTGAACAATCTCGGATGTCATCCTCAAGAGCTTGTCTAGCGACTCGAAGGAATGTTTAAGGTCACCAATGAACTAGGAAAATCTGTGGACAATGCATAGTCGCGGTACTAAAATTGAGTGTCCGTAGTTGGATGTTGCCAGTACGTGATGACTGTGTTCTGCAGGCTATAATTTGCGAGTGAAAAACACCTCCCTGCTTTTGAACACTGGAGGCACCACTCTTTTCAATTTCGTGCATTAAGTTGTGAGCTTGGCTAGGTTCAATCTTAAGAGAAGGATCAGTTGGCTTAGAAGTGTAGTTGAGGAGCAACATCACATGATGGCTGGAAATGTCTTACACTATATGCTAAGTGTGGGTATTATTTGACAATCGCACTAGAAGCAAGAAAAGGACTTAGGATTGACCCTCATCTGGCGATGATACGTCGGGTATGTTGGTGCAAGCACGAGGCAAGTGCACAAACTTTTAATTTGGAATTTCCCTACTCGAGCAATGACCAGTATGAAGTAAGAGACGACCAATGGCCTTAACCATTACAGATGCGCATACACAATATATGAGTTGCGGTCCGAGAGTATTATATCTAGTCAAGGACAAAGCCTCAAGCACAAGATGAGCGACCTGTGTTATGCAAACCTCCCACTGACTACAAGCTCTACCATGAGGTTGTCATGACTATAGTCCAAGAGGAACACAATTGTTTTTAAGAAAAAGACTAAGAGGATGAGATCTTTCTTGAGATGACGCTTAAGGCGTTAGGAAGCATGAGAGTATTCTGCTAATTTACTTTGAGCACCTGATCATGCCACCAGGTTATCTGCTAGGAAGGCTTGAGATGAGAGTTGACTGGTTTGTGGTTTAATGTGACCACAAGCGTCACATGGGAAAATTGTGTGCCACTGCCGCTAGAGTTGCCCATGACGATATTTATGTAAAAGGTGAAGAAAGCCATTTTGAGGGAGATCAGGTGGTCGGTGCAACTGAAACAGGGATGCACCTACAGTTGAATAACATAAGTCTTTTGACGAGCTACTTGAGAATTGACACCATTGTCCGTTTACCTCCCTCCACATACAAAGAAAAGAAAGTTTATCCTTCAATCGGAACTAACGACCATCAGACATCTACAAATAACCATAAAAATGCTTAGTTTTTCAGCATCCTAACACAGTCAAGGTACAAGAAACGTACATTCTAGTTCCAGGTAGATAAGCTTCAGTTATAGCATTAAACTTATGCCTATGAAAGGACACTTATTTCAGCAACAAAGTCTTTTAGAACCAATTCTCATATAAAATATCCTATTTGTTAGGGGCGTGCAGATGCATTCTTTGAACTCGAACTACATATATAGTTGAAATACACACAAATGACTAGTGACACTCTGCATTCTAGAGGTGGATCCATGATTTGAACTTTATGGGTTCGAGTTTCGGGATTCTACCACAACTCATTTGATTTACAAGGCTCGAAATCAATAATTTGTATCTATTTAGTGATTTTTTTAACAAATATACAGAGTCCGGGCCAAAGCTATTGGATTTAGATGAACCCAAACAAAAATTACACTCTACAGTGCACCCTCTAACTTAAAGCCCTGGGGCTCCCAAACTACTAGTAATGTATATGTTTAATTATTGAGATTTGTGAGTATACTAGAAAAGAGGGAGTTTGAAGAATTACAAGCTGTGGAGGAATGACGTCAGGCAGTATAGAACGAGTAGCTTTCCTAGCACGCTTTGAAACCTTCTTGAACATGCTCCCCACTAACCTCATTAGCAAATCCAAACTGCTCTCTGTCTCCTCTTCCTCATCGCTATCTTCTTCATCCTCTTCCTCTACCAATTCATCTCCTTCAAAATTCATTCGGTACATCCTCTCTGCTGCTTCTCCAAACGATCCACCAAACTAAACACCGAAAAAAAGAACAAATTAAATGAACGATACGCGAACCAAATTAAATGATTGATTATTTGATTGAAAAAAGTTAATGGACCTTGGCATGGCAAATGGTCAATTTAGGGTTTCTGTGAAGAAGCAAAGGGAGAGGTAATGGGTGACAAATTGGAGAAAGAGAAGATGATGAAGTTGTTAATGATAATTTGATGGGAGATGGTGGTGATATTGGGAGTATGACGGCAGCTCCCGCCATGAGCTTCGTCCTCGGTTAAGCTTCTGGATTTTTATATTTTATTTTTAAAATAAAAATGGAAACGACAGCCAAAATTAGTGACAAAAGAAATAGAAAAAACAAAATGCTGCCTGTGGTGCAGTAGCCACTAGAACTTCCAACAGTCAAGCTGATGTACAAATTGGACCTCAGCGTTCAAAAATTGCTGAGAAATGAAAAAACGACTTCTCCATTTTTCTAATGATGTCTAGTTGTAAAATAGTTTCTAAATTTTGCCAGTATTTGGATTCTGGAAAAACTTTTCACATGAAATAAACCCTAATCCTTGGTTCGACGCGTTCATACTAACACTTCTTATGAAAATTTGGGTAAAATTTATGTGTTTGAATATTGTAGTTTATTTTTTGAAAATTTTGAGCATTTCTCGACAAAGAATTTTAAGCAGTGTCTTGGCACTTTTTAATAATTTTTTTTTTTTGAAAAATAACTTAGCAAAAGAAAGCTCAGTGAAAATTTTGCACTTTAAAGATACTTCTTACAAGCACTATCTCATCTCTTCTTGTGCAAAGTGCAAACTAGCTTGAGACAACCTTTTTTTTTTTTTTTCCATCCGGTGTCCGGTATTCATATTGGAGCCCGACTATATCCGGATTCGCGCCGCCTAGGGCACCACTCGGGGGGAAGCACTCCCTACCAAGGATTTTTCCATACCCACGGCTCGAACTCAAGACCTCTGGTTAAGGGGAGGAGCAGTCTCAACCACTGCACCACATCCTTTGGTGGTAAGACGACCTCTATAATGAGTGTTGCTCCCAAACGCACACACAAGTATATGCGGTCGACAAGTAATATAGGATTGTAAGTCCAGATATTGTACCCACAGGGACTTGTGATTAACTATAACCTAAATTAAACCCAAACAATTAATCTATTCAAGCAAATTCTAAAGTACGAATATTTAACTAAAGCTAATCTAGAGTAACAAATTAAGAGATTAAAGAAAGCAAGTTGGCGAATTATGGAGACGAATTCAATATGAGTGAATATTCTAGAGCTATGGGTTAGCTAACAATCCCGTTGAGTTTTCCACTTAAATCGTCTAATTAATTTATTTGGTTTATTGGTTGACATGGTTAATATTACTCGTAGCCTTCTCCCGAAGTACAACTCGACTATTCAAGCTAATCTAACGCATATAATCCTATGAAATTAGAATTAACAAGAACGCATTTATAATTCTCGTATAATAACCAAGCAAAACCAATATGATAAAATAATAAGAACAATTCAAGCTTCAAACTACAACGTTCATGTAGCACCTAAAACTCTAGAACTAATAAACTATGTAATTAAAGGAAGAAAGAGAAGAAAAACTAGTTAGAAGCCTCCTCCAAGCGTGGTGTGTGTTCCTCCACGTGAATTCCCCTTCAAAGTATGTTAGATATCTCCAAAGTGGCGTCTTCCCTTCAAAAATATGTTTAGTCTTGCTTTTACACGTGTTGGGTAGGTCTAGGACCGAAATAACCTTGTCCCGGGCAAAGTTAGACAAAATTCCCATCACTGGCGCCCTGGCTAGCGCTCGGCGCCCTCCACAGCGCTGAAATGTTTAAGCTTCTGTTTCTGGCGCCACAGGTAGGGCTGGGTGCCACCCGTGGCGCTGAAATTTCCCATTTTCCGTTTTTTGTCCGTTTTGGCTCTAGTTTCGCACATTCCGCCCCGATTGCTCCCGGATCATTCCTACACATGAAAACACATAAAATTAACATAAATCAACACATTTCACATCCTAAATCCACGAAATAAAAGTGAGATATGAGGCGATATACATACAAATATATATACTTTAAGCAAACAGCAACACCCCACACTTAGACTCTTGCTCGTCCTCGAGCAATGGGACTATCAAATAAACCCCCAACTACGTACAAGTCTCAATTATGGGGGAGCACTTTAACTTTTAACCACACACTATACCCTTGACTACGATCAATACCGGCACATAAGCATGAACATACAAAATTTCACATTCTTCCCATTTAGCCTGCCTAAGTATAACCTTTCAATTCAATCAATTCCAACAACCTATTTGTCACCATCCAACCTCAAAACCGACTTGTAACCACTAAGCACCCTCAACTCATGCACTCACCCAACAAGAAAGTTTACAACATCACCAATCATTCATGAGATCATGTGCTCTTACCAACAAACGAAAGAGTGAATATATACTAGTCCACACATTCAAATATGCTTTTGAATATAGATTAAGGATATCACACAATTGAACAAAATTCTCTCTCTCTCACAAAGAATTTATATGCATCCCGTGGTCGTACCATAAGCTTACCCGTAGTGTATATCTCTACTAATTTAAGCTAGCCAAATATAGGATCAATTAGGACTTTAAGGTTGTAATGTAGGCTAAGGGATGAGTACGATACATTTAGAAATAATGACTAACCCTCCTAATCACTTTAATACACTACATTCACAATTCAAGCACCTATTCTTCTCAACTAATTCACTTGCCATATACAACATAACCCTCTTTTCAATTAAGCACTTCTATATTTCCACTAGCACAAATCAATAAGAATTGGAGGTGTGTGCTTTTCTACATTATTTGAACTATCACATTTTTTTCTCTTTTCTTGCAATTTTTATTTTCCTTTCTCTCTTTTTTTTTTCTTTTCTTCACACACTCCATACATTAAAGTTCATCGGCCAGTGACTTTTGATTTCAATTTTTAGTGCACCAACGGGCCCTTCCATGGTTCACCCAAAAACTACTCCCGAATCTCTAACCTTACTTCTTTTAGAGACTAAGTGCCTTAGGAGGTAAAGGTTCAATCAGTATCAAATTAAGAACAAAATAGGGGTATGGCTTGTAATGTGGGTGCCAAAAGAAAGGTCTATAGGCTCAAATGGGCTAGCAACGGAAAATTTTATTTTTATGTGACAAGCACATCCATGACCAAGCAAAAAACGCCTACATCATCTCTTAAATTAGCACAACTTATAATTTCGCTTCGATTAACACACGGGGCAAGTTCTAGACTACACAGGATAGCACAGAAAACCACAAATCCTCACCCACACGTTGCACATGACTCAATCAGGACGGTTCTGTTCAACTCTCAAGTCAAGCAAGCACACATCATTGAGAAATTTAAGCAATATTGCACTATGTGGCATACGAGTCAAACAACTGAGAGAAGGCATCACAAAATAGGCTATTTACTTTACTTAGGCTTCACAATTCAAACCAAATACACGGAAAAACAGAATGTATGTTATTGCCTAATGTGCCAGCATCAACCATGTCAATGAGTATCTCAGAGCGACTCAGTTCCTTCCTAAACTACACCTAAAAAAATAAATAAAGTACCCGGTTCGAGTTATACCATTGGAAAAGAACTGTCGCCCATAGAAAAACCAAGGAATACTACCTAACTATCCTAAAAAAAAAAGTCTTTTGGTGTTTTTAATCGGACTTTATCCCTCAAGAAAATTGTCCAAAAGATCCATCGTCGGTAAAAGTCCGAACTTTTTCTAAATATTTTTTTCAATTTTCATTTTTTTAACTAGACTATGTCTACTACGTGTTCTAAAAGAAAAACTAAATAAAAAAATAGTTTTATACAATTATAATTCGGAAAGTAGTTTCCCCACCCCACACTTATATTTTATGCATAGACCTCGATGCATGATCATAGAGAAAAATATTAAAACAAGGGTGAGAAATACTCCCTGAGGCCCTCACGGGCCTAGCTCGGACATGATCCTCAATATTAAGGGTCGGGACGACCCCACACTTAAGCTCAAACATGCTCCTCAGCTTCAACTTTGGGTATTCAGACTTCCCCTACTCTGCAAAACAAAAACAACACAAAACTTGACACTATATAAAAGATAAAAAATTAAAAATTAAAATACAGGCTGGGTTGACTCCCAATAAGTGCTTGATTTAACGTCGCGGCACTACGCTATCACTTTCACCACTTTTCCTTCCACTTTGAGGATATAAATTGCGCCCCCAATTTTGCATCAATTTTTCTGTCACGATCCTGGGGCGATGGTGTAAAAATAAAGGAACCAAGCAATAGATCGCATCTTGCACTTCTTGGCCCTTAAGTGAGGAATGTCGTTTTGTTTCCTTGGTGTGGCAAATTTCAGAATATAAACACTTTGTTCCTCATCCATTGACTCCTCCATATGCTCGACTGGAACAATTCCCTTGTCACCAGCCAAACACAATGTTGAAAAGTGTTTAGCATGAGGTCCAATACGCTCCAACTCAAAAATTGCATTATTGTTGACATCCTCAATTTTGCACTCTTCGTCAACCTTGGCATCATTAATAATATCTTGGTCGAATAGTTGGAATTTCTCTTTCTGCTCCACAAGCTGGCTAGTATCCACAAAAATTTATTGTAGGGCATCAGACGCCTCAACCTTAGCATCATCCACAAGAACATGGTCTGGTAATTGGTATTCTCGTCTTAGCTCCTTAATTTGGCCTAAAAGATCTTTTTCAACTTCACACAACTCATCACTAAATTGTTGGACGTTACACGCATCAACCTTTGCACTCAATTCTGCATCCAAGTCGCGAATAGAGCTGCCAAATTAGTCGATCTCTTATCTAAGATCAGTTCTTCCTTCTATCCGTTGTTCTATCATATTTGAAAGACCGTCACGAAAATACTCATGAGATTTTATCATTTGAGCTTGTTCCTCTAGCCAAGATTGGCTCACTATATCTGTTTCTTCTAAATTATCTTATGGTGGGAACTCGCTCTCTTTAGCCACTTCCTCCACCTCGGCCTTCATTCACATGATTGCTGCACTAATTCTTTTCATATCTTTTTTGAGTTCATCCTATTGCTCTGCTACTTGCCTCGGAATATCCCTAATATATGCATCAAGTTCCATATCCTGCACTTCATTGCCCCTATCATACTCACAAACATTGTTAGAAAGATCATAAAAAGGTCTCAGAAAAGGATGAAAAGAATTAGGACAACCATCCCAATGGCCACCATGACCACCACACATATTACAGAATACACCCATAAGATTGAGATTCACAATTTTGCCATAAGTGTGGTCGTCCACCATATGGACATGGATTACCAAAATAAGAATAACCAATATTCGACCAATTATCATTCCAAGATGCCATATCAACAAAGATAGTAAAGTATTAAACTAAGATAAAAATAAAAAAACTTGAGTAGACAAAAAGTAAAAATCTATCTAAAAGAATAGTTAATTTCTAAGTCCCCAGCAACGGCGCTAAAAATTTGTTGCTCCCAAACACACACGCAAGTATACGCGGTCGACAAGTAATATAAGATTGTAAGTCCAGATATCGTACCCATAGGGACTTGTGATTAACTATAACCTAAATTAAACCCAAACAATTAATCTATTCAAACAAATTCTAAAGTACGAATATTTAACTAAAGCTAATCTAGAGTAACAAATTAACAGATTAAAGAAAGCAAGTTGGCGAATTATGTGCACCTGTCGTGTGACCCGTTGGTCCTAAGCAATGTCTTGCGCGAAGCGACCCGGAGACGAATTCAATATGAATGAATATTCTAGAACTATGGGTTAGCTAACAATCTCGTTGAGTTTTGCACTTAAATCGTCTAATTAATTTATCTAGTTTATTGGTTGACATGGTTAATATTGCTCGTAGCCTTCTCCCGAAGTACAACTCGCCTATTCAAGCTAATCTAACGCCTATATTCCTATGGAATTAGAATTAACAAGAACGCATTTATAATTCTCGTATAATAACAAGCAAGGCGATTAGGTATATTCCTATCCTAACTGCAAATCTGCCCCCCCCCCCCCTCAGAGTTAAGATCTTGCTCTACTCAATCTTATATGCAATTTAGAATTCCCTCTCCCGAGTTTAATTTTAGATTCGTAGATGGTATTCAATTGGTGATCAAGCAATCAAATAATTAAGCGCAAGATTAAATAAATAAACCAATATGATAAAATAATAAGAACAATTCAAGCTTCAAACTACAACGTTCATGTAGCACCCAAAACTCTAGAACTAATAAACTATGTAATTAAAGGAAGAGAAGAGAAGAAAAACTAGTTAGAAGCCTCCTCCAAGCGTGGTGTGTGTTCCTCCACGTGAATTCCCCTTCAAAATATGTTAGATATCTCCAAAGTGGCGTCTTCCCTTCAAAAATATGTTTAGTCTTGCTTTTATACGTGTTGGGTAGGTCTAGGGCCGAAATAACCTTGTTCCGGGCAAAGTTAAACAAAATTCCCGTCACTGGCACCCTGGCTAGCGCCCGACGCCCTCCACAATGCTGAAATGTTTTAGCTTCTGTTTCTTGCGCCACAGGTAGGGCTGGGCGCCACCTGTGGTGCTGAAATTTCCCATTTTCCGTTTTTTGTCCGTTTTGGCTCTAGTTTCGCACATTCCGCCCCGATTGCTCCCGGATCATTCCTACACATGAAAACACATCAAATTAACATAAATCAACACATTTCACATCCTAAATCCACGAAACAAAAGTGAGATATGAGGCGATATACATACAAATATATATACTTTAAGCAAACATCAATGAGTCTAGTGAAATAAAATTCCTTTCCCTCTTATACCATACTTTCAAGTGCCTACCGTTTATTAAACAGACAAATGTATGATAATGGAGAACATTTTGGTAAGGCGCTCTTTATCCCTTAGAAGGCTTTCAGATTAGTCCGATCAGTATCAGATGATTAAACCAAGAAGAAGAAAAAAGACTAAATAGTAATCAATTTGAAAACCACACATACTCAAAGCACCGAAAAAATTACTGCAAACTTACCATACCAAAAATAAATAAGGTTCTCAAGTGACAGTTACATTCAAAATATTGCACACCCCCGCCTAACAATGTTCGGAACCCTTGGGTATTAGAACTAACATGTATAACGTTAATTTAGAAAGAAAACCTCATATTTGAAATATGCACTTAAGCTCTAAAATGAAAGAAACTTGGTCTATTAATGTCACGACCCCGGTTCGCCCTCCGTGAACCATCGTAATGGCACCTAGTCTCTACGACTAGGTAAGCCTAAATTGCGGAAGGAAAACCAAATTTTACGGAAGTAAAACAATTTAAAGCAGAATTAAAGTAATAAACATCGTTTAAAAGTGCCGCTCGGCATACACAGTACTTAACTCTCAAAACCAATACATATATACAAGACCCGGAAACCCACGAATCACAAGCTAAGGATATTGCATGGCTCTAACTTCAGAATGTCTACCAAAGAACAGAAATACAGAAGGGCTAATACTACAAGAGAGAATAGAGAGAGACTTTTCGGTCTGCGGACGCGGCAGATATACCTCGAAGTCTCCGAAAGATCGCCTCGCCTCAAGGATGGTAAGTCTGAGTAGAGGTACCTGGATCTGCACATGAAAAACATGCACAGGAAGGGCATGAGTGCACCACAACGGTACTCAGTAAGTGCCAAGCCTAACCTCGATCGGGTAGTGACGAGGAAGATCAGGGCCCTACTGAGATTAAATATAATATAAGTTTGACAGTGTAAAACAGAGCAATATAAATGAGTGCAGCAGTAAGGAACAACATAGAATAAAAGGAACAACAACAACTATAACAGAGACAAATACTCACGGAAAGGAGTACAACTCAACACAGAGATAACAACCGGGGATCTCCCAGGATACCGTCCTGTAGTCCCCAATATAAATATCCAGTGAATCTCCCGGGTGCAGTACCGTAGTCCAACTTATAATGCGCGGGGATCTACCGAAAATCCGATCCGTAGTTCCAAATGTAAATATCCAGTACAGGGGGAATCTACCAGGTGCAGTCCCGTAGTTCCAAAGTAAATGTGCAGGGGGATCTACCGGAATACAATTCCGTAGTCCCAAAGTAAATATGCAGGGGGATCTATCGGGATACTGTCCCGTAGTCCCAAAGTAAACACACAGCAACAACACGAAGAAATACACAATTCAATTCAAATTCCATACTAAGGTAAAACAGGTACTTCTAGCCTAGCATGTTGCACATAATCCAAATAAGGCAGTTTGGGAAAGTGAAACAGTTAAGTCAATTAAACATGCTTGCCTAAGCTAACAACAGGCTTAAATTGCAAGTAGTATAAACATGAAGAAGAAACATAATTAAAATTACTTAAAGAAAACTGGATTTTCAACAATTAGCACAAGTACACACTCGTCACCTCACGTACAAGGCATTTCAAATATCAATAATACCAAATCCTAAGGGGAGTTTCCCCCACACAAGGTTAGACAAGCCACTTACCTCGAACCAACTCAAAATTAACCCGAAACCACGTCTTTGCCACGAGTACTGGACTCCAAATGGCCCAAATCTATTCAATTCAATTGCATATTGTAAATAACACTTCAAGTAACTGATTCTACAATTAAATTCTAAGCTAATACGCAAAATTAGGTAAAATGACCAAAACGCCCATCGGGCCCACATCTCGGAATATGGTGAAATTTATATTTCCATAATCCTCACACTCTCACGAGTTCATGCATACCAAAATTACCAAGATCGGACCTCAAATGGTCCATCAAATCCTCAATCAAAGGTCTCCAATACTAAACCCTAGTTTTCCCCAAATTTTCAACCGAAATTTCCATAATTTCTAGCTCTAATCTGTGAAATAATAGCATAGGAACGAGTTTTAAGTCCAAATTCCTTACCTCAATGAAGTTCCCTTGAAGTCCCTCTTTCAAATCGTCCAAAAAGCTCCCAAGCCGAGATAAAAATGGTGAAATAGCTCAAAATTCGCGAAGGGCACAATTTATATTTTGTGCCCAGGCATTCTCGCATCTGCGGCACAACAACCGCTTCTGCGGTACCGCATATGCGGCCACATAACCGCTTCTGCTATTTTTCACTTAACGGGCCAAAGTCGCACCTGCGCTCAGCATTCTGTACCTGCGATTTTCACTTAACGGGCCAAAGTCGCACCTGCGCTCAGCATTCTGCACCTGCGGCTTCGCAGGTGCGGTCCCACAACCGCATCTGCGGTTCCTGACAATTCCTTAATAATCCGTTTCTGCGGCTCCTCTTCCGCATGTGCGGCATCGCACCTGCGGTCCCCAAACCGCAGGTGCGGAAATACCAGAAGCAGCAAAAGTTCAGCAGCTGCAAACATTCCTCAAACTCCCCGTCAACCATCCGAAATCATCCCGAGGCCCCCGGGATAAGTCTAATACCACTGTCCGAACTTGTACCAATCCTTAAAACACCTAAAACAACATCGAAACCTCAAATTAACCATGAATTCAAGCCTAAGAACTCCAAATTTCTCAAAATGCGCTTTCAATCAAAAAGTCTAGCAAACCTCGCCCGAATGACCTCCAAAACACAATCCGATCACGCCCCTAAGCCCGAAATCACCCAACGGAGCTAACGGAACCATCGGAATCTCATTCCGAGGCCGTCTTCACACTGTTCCGACTACGGTCAAATTTCCAAGACTTAAGCTCTCATTTAGGGACTAAGTGTCCCAAAAATCTCCGAAACTCAAAACCGAACATCCCGGCAAATTCAAAATAGCAGAAATAAAACACGGGAAAAGCAGTTAATAGGGGATCGGGGCGTAAATTCTAAAAACGACCGGCCAGGTCGTTACAATTAATTAACTAATATTCCTTCCCAGATTTGATAAACTCTTTATTGCGCAGTTTTCGCCTAGCACCTTTGCAGTCCTATCACCATTCGCCTCCTTAAAACCCAACCAAATATTAAATAATTAAGAAATATATATTTCTTAGTATAAAACAATTTTAACAAGAAGAAAAAAAGTAATTATGTAAAGCCGTTTACACATTTTACTCCCAACTGAACAAACCCCAAAAGTGAACAAGATCATGCCAATGTGAGGAGAAATCTTGTTGTGTTGTCTCATGGGTTCTTTAACCATCAGACCTCAGCAAGTTTACAACTTTCCGATGTAAACCCCATAAAATAAGAAACTTCGGAGCATAGCTTCGTCCAGTAAACAAGTTAATCAAGCATCTGGATAGATAGTAAAACTTGCTGCGGAGATCAGACAAGCAGTATCCTACTACTCATTGAAATCCTCTGACATACATTGGTATCAACGGACCTGTCACATGTAAAGAATGTGTTCCAGGGAAAAACTTCCTGATATATTTTCGTGCGTGCTAGAGACGATTAACCATATAACTTCAAGGCCACTGGACTTATGGGAGAGAAGCCAGCTGGGGAAACGAGTGCGTCTACTGGAACATCATTAGGAGTGGTAGCGATAGCACCCTCATCCACTATCTGAATGGAATATGCAAGGGCAACTGCAAAAGAGAATCTCAATTTAACTGAGATGGTATAGATGAAGGCTTCACAACCCTTTCACATGCATAATAGTAAGAAGACATAAAAGAGATAACTTGTTTAGAGATTCTCCTATATAATCAATTTGATAATGCCAAGGAAAATACTGCATCAGAGTATTACCAAGTAAGGGTCGCTTCCAGTTTTTTTCCTTGACTAGATCTTCATACTTCCTCAAGAACATATCATAATAACTTCAGGAATTCACCGGTGTTCATATGCCAAATCAAAAAAAAAGGGATTAAGAAAAGATTATTGCATTCGGTTTAATTTGAAAAATTATAGAATTATAAATTTCAAAAATCAGCATGAAGCAGTTTGCTTATTAAGAAAAGGCAGTTTTCTGTTAGCTGTTATGGAAGATGCATCAATTAAGCACTGAAAATCAAGGAAGCCCAATTTTACTGCAATAGCGTAATTTTGATACCCAATAACTTTAATACCATTATGATCTATGAACTCCAATTATATTACAGTTGAACATGACATATGTTTAAATGACAAAAAAGATGAAAAGCAAAGTTACAAAGAGATGATAAGAAAGGGCCACTACTGTTATAACCAAATAGAACCAAAAACTTACAGCAGTGATGGATAAACCTACCCTCCATTACGTCCCAACCTTCGTCCAGATCTGTCAAATGCAAGCCCTAGCAACACAGGAAAAAGATGGGCAAAAAGACGTAGAAGTATTACATAGGCTAAACAAACAAGATGAGGCAGGCCATTACCAGGTAGAACAACCAAGTCCACAGGTTCACAAGCCTGCATAACTAGAACCACTAAATCCTTCAGAAATACAAGTGTGTAGGCCAAACCAAATTAAAGTTATAAGCATGAGAAGCAAATTTACGGCTCAGTTCTCACAGAGTGTATTCATCTTATAACTATGGTATAATAATTCACCCCATTCGTCATACATCTAGTACAACACATGAGAAGAAGCTGCGTGGAGCAAAGGTGACTAAAAACAGAGTACAACAAACGAGAGATCCAACAAGTACATACAAATTCTTATTGAGTAGAGCATATTCAAGACAATTCACAAAGCAAGTTTGTAAGATATCAAACCAAACCAATGCAAATCAACTTAAGCATCTTCATAGTAATGATAAAAGTAGGAATTATGAAAAATAAAGCATAAATCAAAATACCCTCTTCCCGCTCTTTTCCATCAGAATCTACTGGGGCTGGTTCCAAAATGTCCATGTAGCTTAGAACTAGATCATTCAGACTCGAAATCTTCAGCATTTTCATGTTGCTAAATATGTCTTCCACACGGGGTACGTACACTCTCTTTTGTTTTTCCTGTTCTGACGAACCAAACTTATCATTAAGCAGATCTACAGCATAATAGTTTTTCTGCCTGCACATCTATGCATTTCCATTTTATATATGAATATAAAAATTTATTGTCTTTTCATTCTGCCATACTCGGCGCAATAAAGTGAATGCTCGGCAATTATGCATTTAATTGCAGATTTCCTTACAATTTTTGGAGAAATTTTCTAAATTGTAACATAGTTCTTTTAGGTGAAACATTATAAATCCTTTAATGTATGCAGTGCAGACATTTGAAATAAAGAAAAAAGAAAGGAATAAGAGAAACAACAGTACAAAATCTTTCAATGTTTGATCAGACTTTCCAATAGAAGAAAATTTTACATGCAGAATACTACATTGCAACCGCAGATACTGATGCAATCCCAAAGGAAAATTACAATTATTCTAACAGCAGAAATATTCAGGTACCATATAGCATCCAGAAGAAACTTACCACTGGATTCATTGCATAGAACTTCTGCTAGAATTTTTGAAGTGCCAACCTCTCGTAAAGCAGCTGAGCTAACATAAGCACACAAGCTCTGGCTGGATTTGAACCATAGGGCTTCTAAAACAATATTCTGTATTGCAGTATCTGAGAAAAGGACCAGAACAAATATAAACAGTTCATAGATATTTAATCGAAGAAAAGTAACAAAAATTGAGCTAGATGTAGAACAAAGAAACACTAGCAGCAATCAGTGGTATTGGCTAAGGCAAAGAAGTCGTCTGGCGATACTGATTCAGACAGCAAAGCAACAGAGAAGAGAGTCACTTAGCAAGCCAGGCAGTGACTTCCAGGGTTCACTTTATCGCTTCAAAAATCCGAAAGCATCCAACAGCGATTTCATCATTGTGGCTCCAACAAGTTAATTTCATGAACTGCATACTTTGACAATTCAAAGTTTACAGATAACAGGACAAACACCAAACAAGTATTTCACGACATCATTGTCCATAACATTACTATAGTAACAACTGACTCAGAACTCATTCAACCATTTTTAGCGAAGCAAGAATCTGTTATTTTAATGAAATCGGCATGGAGAAAGCTGTCTCAAGACATAAAATACAATATCTTGAAATTAAAGTAAGTTTAGCAAACAACATGAGCAAATAATTCATATAGGCAATACAAACTAGTGGGAATTAAGACTTAGTAGTCGTTACACTTCCATATGATAGTTGGGAGTCTTATTTTAGTCTAGCTAGAAACCTGTATGTCAGCTTAGGGATGAAAGCAGGATTCAGAAAACCCTAATTTATCTTGAGAGAAAATTTACTATCCAGTATTCAAACGAATAGAGTGAGATTAAGAGAACCTTAATTTGCCTTAAAACAAAAATTACAAGTATTGAAACGAAATAAGTCCAAATAAAAGAGGGATTCATATAGCCGAGCTCAACAAGTTTGGAATCAAGGCCTAGTTGATTAAATGATGAATCGAAATGACCTTTGAGTTTAAGCAGACAAAAACACAAACACAATATGTGCAATTCTTTATCATTGCACCACTAATACGAAAATAGGGAAATAGTAGGAATTAGACCTTCATGGGCTCGTTGAATGGGACTCATATTCTTCAGCTCTTTACGAATTTTGGATCGGAGTAACTGCTTTTTTTGGAAAATAGCTTCGAGCTGGCGGGGATCGTCAACGAATGAACGGCGACGATTTGGGGTCATAGCGGAACACAATGAAGGTGATGGTATCTTGCACGAATTGGACATCAGCGCCATTGCTGCCTTGTTAACCAACTTGCCTGCTCTCATATTCTGTAGAGTGTAGGGGGCCGTTTGGTTTGAGTAATAATAATCATGCTATATAATTCTGCATTGCTTAATCCCCTCTTTGTGGACTTTTCGCTAGCGTTTGGCCATAAATCCCAAATTTATTTTGAAAAATCTGATTTGGGTAAAGTTTGATTTGAAGATGAAAATGTGTTTGGACATATATTTTCAAAACATATTTTCTAATTTTTATTTTGAAAAAACATGTATATAATTCCCAAGTTTTGGAATTTTGGCCCATAGCTGATTTTGGGATTGAAATTTGGGATTTGGGATTTGGCTAAAATATGGGCAAAATTTATGGCCAAATATGAATTTTGAAAATAAATTCCTAATTTATTTTGGCAAAACTCATGGCCAAACGGGCCTTCATTTTATGGATAAAATAATCTCTGTATAACTTATACGGTACTTTACTTTACTGCTATTAATTGAGAGGAGCTTCCGGTTCAGGTGAATTTACAAAAAAAATCATATAATTTTACTTTATTGCATATTGCTCCATATTGTACTGACATGTCGTACAAAGAGCAATGCACATTGTACTTTACTATCTGGGTCCATTTTATTTGTAATCGAATGGACTTTCTACATACACACGCACATTCTATTTTTCTTTTACATGCTCTAGCTAGTTCTAACCTTTGCTATTGCATGTATTTCAAAATTCTCCAGTTTCCCATTTGTATGTGGATTTTTAGTTTTGTGTAGTACTTCTCTTATCTGTGGAAATTTCTATCTAAGACAAAAATAGTGATAAAGGGGGAAGAAATTCGATGCCACCTATGTATGTGACGAAATTCCCCAGCGAAAGATCTTCATAGTCAGCCAGTTTGGATAAACTCCATAATGCAAACTTTGATATAAGTTGTTCACGAAAGTTGCCGTTTATGACAACGATTTCTTTGTTCAATAGTTTCTGCTCTTGCATGGATGAGATTTCCTTTCTAAAATGATGAATTTTACAAGTTTGAAGTTTACTGACTGGTGCAATCAAGTTTCATATTTTTGGAACTGATCTGTTTGCTGTTAATTGCTATGCGTATCGCCAATTGTTGAAGGTTACTGAGGAATTAACTAGGTAATTATAGTCTATGTTCAGTTACTCTGTATTTTGCTTTTGAAATTGAATGACAAATTCCCAGTTTCGACCTTTATACTTAATAGTTTGCACTTCAACTGTGTTATTTGAATTTGTAATTATTCGTTCACCCTTGTTCCATGCCTCTACCTCTGCTTTTTTTTATGTCTTGCTTCTTTTCTGTTCATCAACTTTGCATCAGGCAGTAAAATTTGAGTGGAACCATCAGGAGGTGATTATCCATGGAGACGGGAGCAATCCCATTTACACCCGTCAGACTATCCCGATGGTCGAAAATAGGAGAAAGCTAGGCGGAGAAACTTATCATCACATCGAACGGGTCAATGAAATCGACAAAGATAAGTGGTGGGATGGCAAGATAGCAAGCATGATGAATTGGGGAGGGTATGAGCCTGGCAAGGGGCTTGGCAAGAATCTTCAAGGCATCACCAAGCCAATACAGCCAAAGTACCATGGTACCACTTTTGGACTGGGATATCAATACACCTGGCAAGAATACAATGACTGGTCACCACCATGGCGAGGTCTGTACTATCCATTGTAGCAGCCCATACCGCACTCGACTCGGACCTTCCAACAGGCCGACATCATATGGGTCAGAGGAGGAAGAAGCATTGGCAGCCTTAAGGAACCTGTTCTTGGAGGATGAGGACATGGACTGTTGTGTAATTGTTGAGGAGGAGGAGGAGGAAGGCCCTACCATCCGAGCTGTGGAGAGAGGATCGTTCCTCAAGAATTGGACTGTCAGACATCCAGGGCCCGATGAGTCCCGGGGTAGCAAGGCTGAACAACATTGTTTTGTTTATTTTCTAAGAAAAATGATTTCCGTTTTGGCATTTTGTTTTAAATAATATTTCCAATGTTCCGAAAACATTGTTTAAATTATTGAAAATAGCTTTTATGCTTCAATGAATCAATATTTATTATTACCATTTTTCTCTCATATCTTTATCTATACAGCATTACTATTTCCTGTCTCGATAAACCAACAATTGTGACATGCAATGAGACGACGCAACAAAAGGATAGTGATTCGGAAGAAGAAGATGTCATACCCGAGAAAATTGTCAGAGAAGTAGAAGACTTTGAGAACAAGCCTAAGTCCAATCTGGACGAAACATAAATAATCAACTTGGGAGACTCTGAAACTATCAAGGAAACCCGCATCAGCACCCACTTGTCGCCATCAGAAAAAGAAGAGTACACACAGTTTTTGAAAGGGTATGAGGACATATTTGCATGGTCATACGATGATATGACCGGGTTAAGTACATCTATTGTGGCTCACAAGTTGCCCACAAACCCAGCATGTTCACCAGTAAAGCAGAAACTTAGGAAGTTCAAGCTTGACATGAGTCTGAAAATCAAGGAGGAGGTTACTAAGCAAATTAAGGCCAAGGTCCTCAGGGTGGTTGAATACCCAACTTGGCTAGCCAACGTCGTGCCAGTCCCAAAGAAGGATGGGAAGGTCAGGGTCTGTGTTGATTATCGGGATCTCAACAGGGCCAGCCCAAAGGATGATTTCCCACTTCCAAACATACACATCCTAATCGACAATTGTGCTAAGCATGAACTCCAGTCGTTTGTGGATTGTTTTGCCGGTTACCATCAGATCTGGATGGACGCAGAGGACGCTGAGAAAAAGGCTTTCATTACACCATGGGGAGTATACTGTTATAAGATGATGCCATTTGGTCTAAAGAATGCGGGCCACCTACATGAGGGCTATTACTACCATTTTTCATGACATGATACATAAGGAGATCGAGGTATATGTGGATGACGTCATCATCAAATCCAAGAAAGCCACAAATCATATCGCCGATTTGAGGAAGTTTTTCGACAGACTGCGGAGATACAACTTGAAACTAAACCCCGCAAAATGTGCATTCGGGGTTCCTGCCGGAAAGTTACTTGGGTTCATTGTCAGCCGCCGAGGGATAGAATTGGATCCGTCAAAAGTCAAAGCCATCCAGGAGCTGCCACCGCCAAAGAGTAAGAAAGATGTAATGAGTTTTCTAGGACGGCTAAACTACATTAGCCGGTTCATAGCCCAGTCCACAGTTATATGTGAGCCAATTTTCAAGATGTTGAAGAAAGATGCTGCAACTAGTTGGACCGAAGATTGTCAAAAGGCTTTCGACAAGATCAAGGAGTACTTATCAACACCACCGGTCTTGGTCCCCCCAGAGCCAGGACGACCTTTGCTACTCTATCTGTCTGTATTAGATGGAGCCTTCGGATGTCTTCTGGGGCAGCATGACGAGACGGGGAGAAAGGAGCAAGCCATATACTACCTGAATAAGAAATTCACACCTTATGAAGCACGATACTCTCTGCTGGAACGCACTTGCTGTGCTTTGACCTGGACGGCCCAGAAATTGAGGCATTACTTCTGTGCCTATACCACGTACCTCATATCTAGGATGGACCCTTTGAAGTACATATTTCAGAAACCTATGCTGACTTGGAAGTTAGCCAAGTGGCAGATACTGTTAAGTAAGTTCGATATCGTCTACGTAACTCAAAAGGTCAAAGGACAAGCATTGGCAGACCATCTTGCTGAAAACCTATGGGAGGAGAATACGAACCCTTGAAAACGTATTTTCCCGACGAAGAAGTGTTATTCATAGGAGAAGATATTGCTGAGTCCTACGACGGTTAGAGAATGTTCTTTGACGGAGCAGCAAATTTCAAGGGAGTCGGCATTGGAGCCGTCTTGGTGTTGGAAACTGGCCAACATTATCCGGTATCTGCTAAACTCAGATTTCCCTGCACCAACAACATGGCAGAGTATGAAGCCTGCATACTAGGGCTCATCATGGCCATCGATATGAATATTTGGGAGCTGCTGGTAATCGATGATTCAGATTTGCTTGTGCACCAGGTACAAGGAGAATGGGCCACTAAGAATTCCAAGATACTGCCATATCTGCACCATGTGTAGGAATTGAGAAAGAGGTTCACGAAGATAGAGTTTCGGCATGTTCCCAAAATTCAGAACGAGTTCGCCGATGCATTGACCACTTTGTCATCCATGATACAGCATCCCGACAAGAACTTCGTCGATCCCATCCCAGTAAGGATCCATAGCCAGCCGGCGTATTGTGCCCATGTTGAAGAAGAAACAGACGGAAAGCCTTGGTTTCACGATATCAAAGAATATTTGGCAAAAAAAGAATATCCGGAGCATGCAAATCATACTCAGAAACGTACGCTTCGGAGATTGTCCAACAATTTCTTCCACCGTGGAGGAACCTTGTACAGAAGAACTCCTTATTTGGGATTGCTAAGGTGTGTCGACGCAAAAGAAGCTTCTGAGCTACTTGAGGAGATACATGCTGGGACTTGCGGCCCGCATATGAACGACTTTGTCTTGGCCAAGAAGATACTTAGGGCCGGTTATTTCTAGATGACCATGGAGACAGATTGCGCCCAGTATGTCCGAAAATGCTACCAATGTCAAGTACATGCCGATATGATAAAAGTGCCGCCAAATGAGCTCAATGCAGCAAGCTCACCTTGGCCATTTGCCGCCTGGGGAATGGATGTTATTGGTCCAATCGAGCCCGCCACATCAAATGGGCATCGGTTCATCTTGGTAGCTATTTATTACTTCACCAAATGGGTCGAAGCAACATCTTACAAGGCAGTAACTAAGAAAGTCGTAGTAGATTTTGTCCGCGACCGGATTGTTTGCCGGTTTGGAGTTCCAGAATCAATCATCACTGACAATGCCTCTAATCTCAACAGTGATCTGATGAAGAATATGTGTGAGACTTTCAAAATCAAGCACAAGAATTCCACAGCCTATAGACCTCAGATGAACGGAGTTGTAGAAGCCGCTAACAAGAACATCAAGAAGATACTGAGAAAGATG